ATATATATATATATATATATATATATATATATATATATAGTAAATTTCTTTTTAAACAAAATTTATAGTTGATTATTGTTATGAGTTGTTATTTGATTTCTTGATTACTGCTTTATTACATACTACACTAATGACACTTATTAAGGTTTGTGGTTAATGTAAGTGTGTTTGTTAGTTTAATTAGTAATGAAAAATAAGGGGTGTATTGTATAATATAACATAATAAGATGAGAAGAAGAATTAAGAATAAGAGCAGGTTTTGCAAATGAAATAAGGTTTTTGATGCATTTAAGATTTGATGGTTTGACTTTTGGACTGGGCCAGAGAAACTTCCCTCTTTTTGGATCTAAAGCGAAGTCACCCCCACTCACATGGCCTGTCTCCTGACTTATCATAAATCATATTTAATTCATTCTTTTTCTTCATTATTATTATTATTTTTTTATATATATATTTGTAGTTCAAAAGAAGATTCCCCAGAATTAGTAGACCCCATCCTCTTCATGCATTGATGATTAGGGTTTGTTGGGTCCTCTTTTTATCTTTTCTCTCTTTGAAAACATATTTACAAACATTACATCCAATCTTTCTTTTCAATTCATCTACTGACCCCGCCTTGTTTGCTACTCAATAATTCCCTACCACTGTAATTTTGTATACACTGTACTATATATATAGCTTTTCAGTATATTGGATCCGTTAGGTCTGCCACCATTTTTATTAAAACATATATAGTCCAATATATCTCAATTCACTTGATGGAAGAAATCAACCTTTTTTTATTCGACTAATTTAAGGCCTAAGGTCCAATAATCACACTCACAAAACAACAAGCTAGATAATAATTAATGATTTTTAAATGCATTACTTAAAGAGTGAAACATAACCAGACCAGATAAGATTCTGAATATAGATGTTGCGTTTAGTGTAACAATTGTATTTGATTAAACACGTATTAAACGTATTATTGAATGTAACGATTAGCATTCAGTCTTTAAAATCTTAGATCGATCTCCATAATTCAATAGTAAGTAGTTATATTTATTTTGGATGAATATATTAAATATATAATTGCAGATGAGAGGATGCAGATTGAAACGTGAGTGGAGAAAAAGGAAGCAAAAGCACATGAATCCCCATAGGCCATAGCACCATTCATTCATCTTAGCTTTCTTCAAATCGATGAATTGGTTAGATCCTTCCTCACAAAGCATATGTCCTTTTAAAGAAGCACCTTTTTGGTTGTAGATCAGATGCCAACTCCGATCTCACACTATACTGCATGCATATATGCCCCTTTTAATTTGTACGTACGTTAATATCTTTATTCCTACCCCCATTCCAATTCAATTCCACTATATATATATATATATATATATATATATATATATATATATATGCTGTGTCATGTATGTGATCGACATTTAATTTTATGAATCCTAGCTTTTTAATTAATTACTCTTACTTTTCTTTCTTTCTTTTCCTTATACATCATTTTAAATTTAAAGGCAATGAGAATTATAGAACTTGAATGTTATATATATATATATATATATATATATATATATATATATATATATATATCGCACATGCAGACGAAACAGGTCCCCTTCCCTCAAAAGCCTATTTCACTTCCATCCCCTTTTCTTTTCTTTTTCCTTCTTTCCTCTTTTATAAAACGAAGAGAGACAAAAATAAAAAATAAAAAAAATAAAAATAAAATAATAAAATAATATATATATATATATATATATATATATATAGAGAGAGAGAGAGAGAGAGGCGAGTTCAGGTGCGGCAACACCAATAGTTCAACAAATATGCACCATCAACGTTAGGAAAATACACCAAAAAAACAGAATAAACAGAGCCCCGCATCACCAAACACACATCATTAGGTGTGAGTAAGAACACCATACACTGTTCGGAAATACACCATTGGGGGTGATGAATTATATGGTGTATTTTTTTGAGTCTGTTGTGTATTTTGTGATGTTTTATTGCATTTCATTGTGATGTGTTTTTCTTACACTGTTGGTGTATTCTGGAATTCCGCCGCACCGCCGCACGGGAAGACCCCGCCGCATTTGAACTTTATTCTATATATATATATATATATATATATATATATATATATAATTAAGTTCCAGTGCGGGTGAATGCTTCCCGTGCAGTTGTGCGAGTGATTAATGTGCGTGAGTTTTGTACTTAATGTGTGTGAGTCTTGTGCTTAAGGTGCGTGAGGTTTGTGTTTAATGTGCATGAGTGTGTAATGCTTAATGTGCATGAGTTTTGTACTTAAGGTGCGTGAGTCTTGTGCCTAAAGTGCGTGAGTTGTGTGCTTAATGTGCGTGAGTGTGTACTTTAATGTGAGTTGTTGTTGAAACTTTAAAGTGTATGAGTTTTGTGTTTAATGTGCGTGAGCTCTGTGCTTAAGGTGCGTGAGTCTTGTGCTTAAAGTGAGTGAGTTTTGTACTTAATGTGAGTTGTTGTTAAAACTTAAGGTTCATGTGTTTTTGTGCTTAAGATGCGTGAGTTTTGTGTTTAAGGTGTGCGAGGGGTGTGTGCTTAAGATGCGTGAGTTTTGTGCTTAAGGTGTCTGAGTTTGTGTTCTGAATGTATTTTATTTGTGTGTTTAATGTGCGTCTGTTGTGTACTTAAAGTGCGCTAGTGTAATGCTTAATGTGAGTCTACCAGCACAACCGCACAGAAGCACCACCCTAAGTTTGCAATAATTATAAAATAAACTCCACTATTGAGAGTTTTCAATAATTATATAATTTGACCTTTTTTTTTTTAACACTCAACAATTGATGAATCTTGATGGACGGTTACGATCAATATAATCCTTGAAATTTTCAAGAGAAATATGTTCTCACTTCCTCCCAAAGTTTAAATTATTTACAATAGTACCACTGCGTTATTTTTAGAAATTATATTTGATACGTTAAATATTTTCTAAATGGACGATTGTGATTGGTTATTAGTTCTCTTTGCATACTTCTTGATAGTTGAACTATGTAATATCATAATTGATTTTCAAAAAAAAATTATAATATCATAATTAATGTTTAAAGTAAAGACTATATTTTTCAAAAAAAAAAAAAAAAGGTAAAGACTATATATTTCTCAAAATCTGTATACATAGCATTATTACAAGTACTCAATTAAAACGAACACATAGGCCCTGTTTGGTAAAATGACTGTTAGCTGATAGCTGTTAGTTGTTAGCTGATTGTGTTAATTAGAGGGTATAAATAGTTAATAACATTAGCTGATTGTAGAAAAGTGTTTGGTAAATTAACTGTTAGCTGATAGCTGTTTAATATAATTTCTTTTCTCAAAAAGCTAATTGAAAAAGTTGCTTGGAGTAGCTTTTTTAATTTTAGCTTTTTGAAGTTGCAAAAAGCAAATTAACCAAACATTTATATTGATATTTTAACTAAATCAAACAATTAATAGTGGTCAAATAATCTAAAATTGGCCTATATGCTAATTTTTTACCAAACATGGATAATAGGCCACCCCGATCAAAGAAAGAGAATACCAAGTTTAGAAAATAAAACTAATAAGAATATATGGTAGGACATGACCCGGTAAGTTATGTATATTATAGTACATAGGTTGTAATATATTTATTTATAATGATCATGTTTAGTGAAATAGTTAACCTATCAATCAATGTTAATTTATTTGATCATTATTAGCTATCTTACTTGGTTTTTGATTAATTAGCTTTTCGTAACAACTTATTGTCTTAAAATGTTAAAATTCAAAAAGCTGCTCAAAGTAGTTTTTCCGATTAACTTTTTGAAAAAATTATTTTGTATATAATCAACTAACATATAACATCTAATTTATCAAACACTTTTCTACAATCTAATGGTATCAACTAGTCAAACTTACTAACCCAATTAATTATCAGCTACTAGCTAACAGTCTTTTACCAAACACCCCAATATATAATTTAGAATTTGCAAAGAGAAAGGAATAAAGGTATGGGCGGGAGTGGTATAATCTGCTTAAATTAGCTTCCTTTTTCCAGAACTTTTTTTTTTCTTAAACATTTAGGCGAGAACAAAAGAAAGGAGAAAGAAAATAAGATGAGAGACATGTGATGAGCTAGGTAGGTCGGGTCTGCGGAAGCTAGTCAGGTTGGAATTTATGAGTCAAGTCCTGGCATCGGTATGGCAGCCTGTGAGCGGAGTTGAGGCAACGGAGGTAGAACTGGGCAGGTTCCTATTCGTTTTCCATCACGTAACGGACATGGAACGTGTTCTCAATGAGGGGCCTTGGGCTTTTGATAATAGCATGTTGGTATGCAAGCAAGTCCCGGACGGGGTCATGCCGGTTGATGTGGTGTTGAACACGGTAGACCTATGGGTTCAATTGCATGGTTTGCCGAAAGGATACTCGTCCAGCCGGATCTTGGAACAGATTGGAAATTATTTGGGAACGTTTGTTAAGAGTGATGATCGGTTTGACAATGTCCCACGGAAGGTGTTTCACCGAATTAGGGTTTCGTTGTCTGTTGATAAACCCTTGAAAAGGCGAATGAATTTCATTAAACGGGACAAGACGAGTTGCTGGGTAACATTCAAGTATGAACGCCTACATACCTATTGCTACTTTTGCGGGATGCTTGGACATTCATATCAATTTTGCCGTGGGGCCAGGGATTCGAAGCTGCCAGTGGAGGAGTATTTGTACGGCCCGGAATTGCGGGCAGGGGGTGGCCGTGGCCCTAGGCCGGTGGGCGGAAGTTGGCTGCTGCCGCCGAAGCAGCACGCGGTGGGGCGGAAGCCGAAGGGTGACCGTGGGCAGGTGGGACGGTCTCCGGGGGTTGGGAATCGGGTTGATGAGGTAGTAGAGGAGGAGGTGGTTGCGGTGGCTAAGCGGCGCCGAGAGGAGGTGGGTGGTGAGGGAAGGGATGTTGTAATGACCGAGCTTTCAAAAAACTTGCAGCAGGCGGGTACTGGTTCCCAGACCCGCCCGGATCAATGAGTACCCTAAGCTGGAACTGCCATGGCTTGGGTAATCCACGGACGGTTCGCGAGATTGTGGACATGGTGTCCCGTAAGCAACCCGACTTTGTATTTCTGATGGAGACTAAAGTGGCACGCGATCATGCAGAGCGATTACGTGTTAAGATAGGTTATGAGGGGCTGTTCTATGTTGATAGTGATGGGTTGAGTGGTGGTATAGCCTTACTGTGGAAGAAGAATTGTACGGCCCGGTTGCTAAGTTACTCAACGAACTACGTTGATGTTGGGGTAACTATTGCCGGATTTCCAGAATGGCGAATGACGGGTTATTATGGTTTCTCGGAACGAACGAGGCGTACTGAGTCATGGGATCTCTTGAGAGCACTATCGAGCAGGTCAACCCTACCATGGGTTGTCATTGGAGATTTTAATGATTTACTATATCAGAATGAGAAAAGAGGGGGGAATCCGCATCCGAATAGCCTCTTACGCGGTTTTGGGGAAGCCATTGAGGACTGTGGGCTCGCTCAGTTGCCTATGAATGGATATCTGTACACATGGGAGAAGGGAAAGGGGACAGCAAACTGGATGGAGGAAAGGCTTGATAAGGTCTTAGTGACAGATGAATGGCGGGGTGTGGTGACGGGGGCTAAGGTGATGAATCTGAGAACCCGGAAATCTGATCATTCGGCTCTCTTTTTGGGAATCCGTGAGACCGGTGGGGGTGTTGAGCCTGGGAGGAGGGGGTTCCGGTTTGAGATGGCATGGTTGCATGATGAGGGGTGCAGGAGTGTGGTAGAGCAGTCTTGGCAGGAGGGGAGGAGCCAGGGTTTACAGAACTGTATTCAGTACTGCGGGAACCGGTTAACACGGTGGGGTGGGGACCGATACCATAAGTACGGAAAACGGATCAATGAGCTGACAAGGGAACAGCAGCGACTAAGGGGGCGTACTGACCCGGCCTCGCTTGCAGAGTTCCAGCGCCTAGAACAGTTGTTAAGCTGCACTGAAGCTCAGGAGGATGCCTATTGGAGACAGAGAGCCAAACAGCACTGGCTTAAGGAGGCGGATGCTAATACGAAGTTTTTTCACAGGTATGCCTCTCACCGAAAAAAGAAGAATACTATTTCTAGACTGATGAATGATGATGGGGTTTGGGTGGAGGGGGAGCCTATGAAAAATTATTATCTTGCAATATTATAATCGTATTTTTTGTGCTGGAACCCCGGGAACTGGGGAGGGGTTTTTTGAGGGGATTACTCCGCGAGTCACACAGGCACAGAATGAATCTTTGCTGCGGCCTTTTGAATTGGAAGAAGTTAAGGGTGCATTGTTTGCAATGTTCCCGGATAAGGCACCAGGCCCGGATGGAATGAATCCGGGCTTCTATCAGCATTTTTGGGATGTGGTGGGGGGGGGGGGATGTGGCGAGTTTTATAATAAATTGTGTAGAGTCTTGTGATTTTCCGCCCGGGTTGACTGAAACCGATATTGTTTTGATCCCTAAGAAGAACACCCCTGAGCTTGTAACTGACTTGCGCCCTATAGCTCTCAGTAATGTGGTCTATAGAGTTATGGCAAAGATGTTGGCTAATAGAATGAAGCCATTGATGGAAGGAATAATATCTGAGTCACAAAGTGCTTTTATCCCAGATAGACTGATAACGGATAATATATTATTAGCTGCGGAAGTGGGCCATTTCCTGAATAGAAAGCAGTGTGGGGTGGGGGGATGGAGTGCTCTCAAACTGGACATGGCAAAGGCATATGATCGGGTGGAATGGTCTTTCCTCCGTAAGATGATGTTGGCGTTGGGTTTTCATGGTGGTTGGGTCGAATTGATTATGAAATGTGTCACCACAGTATCCTATAATATTCAGGTGAATGGCTTAAGATGTGATCCTATTATACCCACTCGTGGATTAAGGCAAGGGGATCCTTTATCCCCGTATCTATTTATTATCTGTGCAGAAGGACTTTCATTATTATTACAGCAGGCACATACTGTGGGATCATTGCACGGATGCAGGGTAGCGAGAGGAGCCTCCCCAATCTCTCATTTATTCATTGCGGATGATAGTCTTTTGTTTTTTAAAGCCAATGTGGAGGAAGCAGGTGAAATTAAAAGATGCCTATCTGTATACGAGGATTTGTCTGGCCAGGCAGTTAACTATCATAAGTCGAGTATATGTTACAGTAAGAATACAAGTAATGTTGATAGGGAAAATGTGGCTCAGATTTTGGGAGTGACACAGGCTCCGAATTTTGGCAAGTATTTGGGACTCCCCTCTTTTGTTGGAAGACACAAAAGGGCAGTTTTTGCGTATGTTGAGGATAAAATCCGTCAAAGGATTGAGTCATGGAATAAAAAACTGCTCTCGCAGGCGGGTAAGGAAATTCTTTTGAAAACTGTAGCACAATCTATGCCTACGTTTTCAATGAGTGTTTTTTTGCTACCTATATCCGTGTGTACGGCGATAGAGAGAATTATGAATCGGTATTGGTGGGACTCTGGAACTGATAGGCGAATACATTGGAAGGCATGGGACAAGTTGTGTATCCCTAAGAAGTATGGGGGGTTGGGTTTTAAAGATTTGCGTGCTTTTAATCTAGCAATGCTAGGGAAACAGGCGTGGTGAATGTTGACTAAACCTGAGTCCCTGGTGGCACGTGTGTATAAGGCCCGTTATTTTCCAAGAGGATCTTTTTTTGATGCACAAGTGGGAAATAATCCCAGTTTCTGCTGGCGGAGTATCATGGCAGCAAAGACTATAGTTTGTGGTGGGGTAAGACGCAGAATTGGTAACGGGGAATCTACACTCATATGGACTCACCCCTGGTTACAGGATGATCATGACCCTATGGTACAGACAGAAATGCCATTACAGTTACAAGGAGCCAGGGTCTCAGGTTTGATTGATCAACAAACGGGTAATTGGGACCCCTCAATTCTAACTGATCTATTTCAGCCTAGTGATGTAACAGAGATTTTGAAAATACCTATCTCACTGGATTATGATGATACCTGGTACTGGTATGGGGACCCAAGAGGGGAGTATTCTGTTAAGAGTGGATACCGGCTAATAGTAGGAAATTATCAAGGAAATAATGGGATATTTACGAAATGGCTGCACCTATGGAAGCTCAAAGTCCCACCAAAATGGAAAATGTTTCTTTGGAGAGCCACTAGTGATATATTGCCTACCACTACAAACTTGCTTATAAAGAGGGTGGATGTGGATCCACAATGTGCCATGTGTGGAATATCTCAAGAGGATACAATGCATGCTTTAGTGTTGTGTGATTATGCAAGAAACATTTGGGAAAAATCTAACCTCACGATCCCCAATATAGTCACAAATGTTTTTCATGATTGGTTTAGTGAACTCTTAAATGTTCTAGACTCTGATGGAATGTTATATGCAGCAGCAATTCTTTACAATGTTTGGAGAGCAAGGAACAGGGCGGTATGGGAGGCAACGTTACCGCGCCCCGAGTCGGTACTCAAGGCCGCAGCTGCTGCCGTTTTAGCGTGGACGCGGGCGCACCCACTGCCCACGCCCCGAACTGCTATGCTATCATCCGGGACGGTGGGATCCGGGCAGCATGGCGTCGAGTTGCACACTGCCGAGACGTCGCATGGTCCGCCGAGGAGGCTATGCCGTGTGGATGGGGGTTTTATGCACGAGACGGCCAACGCTGCATTTGGGGCGGTCTTACTAGACACGAACGAAGGCTACGTCTCGGCATGCAGCGGACCGTTACGAGGATGCTCCTCGCCACTTATGGCCGAGGCGCTCGCATGTAAAGAGGCTCTATCATGGTTGAAGGATCGGGGAGAACAGAATGTCGAGATATATACGGACTGTTTGGCACTGCATCACTATCTTACTACACCAACCGTTGTGCTGCGCACGTACTTAGGCTATGCCATTGACAGCTGCAGGCTTACTTCATCTTTATTTCAGTCTTGTTCGTTTCATTTAATTCCTAGATTAGATAATTATTTAGCTCATGCTTTAGCAACTACGGCTTACCAGCAAACTGCTACTATGTATTGGGATCTGCTCCCACCAGACATTCTTTCGGCCTATTTTTAATGAAGCACCATATATATTTCAAAAAAAAGGTAGGTCGGGTCTGAGCTGAGATACAGCAAATTAAAGAATATATAATGTAGGTCTGTGTGGATCTTTCTAGCTGGTTGGCTTATACATCCATCTCATTCAACGTAACCCACCATATATGATATATGTAATGTATCCAATTAAGTTTCATTTGGTTTTTCCAATGGCCGTCCACTTCTGTCATCAGCCCGCTTTCCATCTCCATCCATTATTTATTTCCATTCAATATAATTGACTACTACCAAATTACATTATCTATCTAGCTACTTGCATATATCCTTTTCTCAATTATATTCCATCCATCTTTTTTACTCTCATCTCATCTATTCAGATCATTATATGCCGCATATCATGCATGATTATTGCAATTTTAATTTAATTTTGTTGATAAATATACCTACTCAATCCCAACTTTATTTTATTTGCTAGTTAACCATATATATATATATGACAAAATTAACACTACACTCACTCATACACTCATACACTCGATTGAGAGTAGTCATACTTCACATATCAGTCAACTCCTTTCAAGACACCATATATTACATATTTAAATATAAAACTCATCAATCCAACATTTGTTTTATTAGTCTAATAAACCAAACGTAGTACGTTGACAATTGCCCAATTATTAGAGGTACCTTGCTTAAGTATGACTTTGGATTTAAATATATTTAAAGTAATTTTTTTGAAATCAAAATATATTTAAAGTAATGAATATTGTGAAAGCTCTACCAAATTAAAGTTTCATTTTGGGTAATGCATATATAAATATATGCTCATATGAGACTATGATTTGAAGTTTGAAGTGCAGTGGTTAGTCCAATAGACAGACTACAGTACATCCGGCCCAATTTGTAATTATTTTGTGGGTAGACTATACATGTAGTCTTCTCAATCGTTATACCATAGACCAAAGTCTATCTTACATTATGAATAATGATTCAAAAATTATATATATATATAATTAATATATTATGAACTTTCAGTTAATAAAATATGTATTTATAAATAAATTGAATACACATAAGAGATCTTTAAAACTGCGCTCTCTCGATTTTTTTATCATTTGTCAAAAGATCAGTGAATCAGGCAGTTTATGCTATGGCTAAGCCGTCCGTTTCTAGGCCTGATTGTATGTAGTGGTGAACTAACACTCCTTATATTTGTACTGTGTTAAATTTAGATCTTAATGAATAATTATGCTTTATTTAAAAAAAAAAAAACAATATATTTAACCCATATATAATTGGGTCTGCAGGCCATTTCAAGTGCTTTTAATATGAAGGTTGGGGTAGTGCACTTGTAGGCTTTGAGGTCATCATCATCCTTGAAATCATTAACTGCTATAAATGTATATGCCGTTGCAAACAATGCATGATGTCTTCTCACTTTCAATTTGTTAATTCAATTGCCTTTTTAAACTTTAATTACTTCAAATCCATTAAATATTTACAAATACACAGTTTGATTGAGTCTTTATTAGTACATGAGACATATATATATTAATTAATGTAATTATAAAACAATAACAAGTCTTAACATTACTATTCACAACTTATACATCATTTAAAATGGAAACACAATGAAAAGTAAATCAATGTAATTATAAACAAAAAATACATTACTATTATTAAATATAAGTGATTCGTACTTTTTGATGAGTCAATAAACACTTTATAAATTTAGTCGCATAAATCCATACATTAAAAATTTTCAAATTTTGTTCCAAGCATTCCATTCCAATAATAATAATAATAATAGGATAGTGACATTTTTCAATCACACCATTGTTGATGGGAGAAAAGTCATGGCTTCATTAAAAAAAAAAAAAAGAAAAAAAGAAAAAAAAAAAAGACATCAACTCTCAACTCAAAATCAATCAAGGTACCAACAAGCAACAAGTCAACAATCATCAATCATTTCAAGAAGCCAATTTGTTTAATAAGAGGATGAGAACGTACAAGAATATACTATGAGTTTAATTTTTTCTTTGGTAGGGACTATAAGTTTATTATATATACTTTCAAATCATACTTTCTTATTTTTATTTATTGATATGATAAATAATGATAACTTATTTTTATTATACGAGTCCGAATAAAATATTTAAATCAAGATTTTAGAAGTGGAAGTAGAATTTGAGAATACTCTCCTATTTTTCTTTCTTAATGTGACAAACAATGATAAATTATTTTTATTATGTAAGTCCCAATAAAATATTTACATCAAGAATTTAAGAGTGATAGTAGAACTCGGGAGTGCACAAAATAATTTCCTAACAACGAACAAATCATGTGAGTGCGCAAAAATAAAACTTGTTCCAATTCTTCTATCTTGTTATATTTATTAGGGAAAATTGCACTTTTTCCCCGTGTTATATACTTATAGCACTTTTTTCTCCTATATTATTTAAGTGGCAATTTTCCTCCCTGATATATTAAATGGACATATTTACCCTTAAAATAAATATTTCATTTATTTTACTTCTCCAACAAATTATAACCACAATTTGAAAAAATAAAATACATTAATTGTTGAATTTAGAATACTTTAAAAATAAAAAAATAAAATTTTAAAATAATGTTTGAACCAACAGTTCAAATTGGATCCGAAATTGTGAAACAACGATTCAAAATAAAAACCAAATCGCGATTATATATACTTATATGTGAGAGTCAATATAAACGCGAAAAAAACATACACTATTTGCAAATATTATAATTCTAATTTTAAGCTATTGCTAGTAGTTGTTCCGATTTGAACCTCTGGTTCACGGTTCAGAATCTATTTTTTTCCACTTCACAATTTTAATAAACGGAAACCCAAATATTGGGTTATGTTATGAATCATAACCGATTTTTTTTTAATTTGATTGCTATAGTGTTCGGTTCAGTTCGAACCGAACCGTGGCCATCCCTACGTATAAACAATAATTTGTTGAACAAGAGAAATAAATAAAATATGTATTTAAGGGTAAAAATGTCTATTTAATATTATCAGGGGGAAAAACCGCCACTTTTATAATAATTAAGGGGGCAAATGTGGATGCATGAATAACTCAGGGGGAAAAAGTGCTATAAGCATATAACATAGAGGGAAAAAGTGTCATTTTCCCTATTTATTAATATTTATTAATTGAAAGTCAAATCAAAATTTATTTCATCACATATTCTTTCAAACAATTTATTTATTATAATTTCTGAACACTTCAAGATGAAAATTTACATGATAATTTTTATTTATTTTTGACTAAATTAATTAAAAATTACAAAACATCAGTTTTGTCAATTGCATCCCGTATTAATACTGATACTTGAAAACTGTATTTATTATTATAAATATTAGTTTATAGTTTATGGTATTTATCTCACTACTCTTTATTCGGTGCCACTATCCTCTATTTAGAGGGGGTTTAAGTACAATTATTATAAAATGTATATATATACTTAACAATTATTAATGAAAATAGATTACGACAATTGCATCTTATAAATTCCTCTTTATTTTGACTTTTATCTTTGTACTATCTGTATTATTTTGAGCATATAATTACATAAGATTTACATATGAAGATTAAGCAAAGAAGGCCAGCTTTTAACATTTAGTCAGCTAATGTGGATAAAGTAATAAATTAAATTGAAAAGCTAGTGAAATATTAGGGGTGAAATTGTGAAAAAGAAAAAAATTTAGTTCCTAACCCTAAATTTTCTCTCTCGTTTTCTTCCTTCTCTCTTCGGTCACTGCTGCTTCCCGAGGTTAAGGAAAATTTAAAAATTAATGCAGCTAATTGGTTGATGAAGCCTGGGCTGGAGTTCACCAGAGATGGCGAATACGAGATCGGTGGCTGGGTGAAGTAGACACAAGACATCGATGGAGAAGGAAAGGTATGGATAGCTGTCGTCTACTTAAAGTATGGGATTCCGCAGAGCAGATATTGTTTCCAAAGATTTTTTTAATAGATTGTTAGATTTGGGACTTCATTGTTGTTTGGGGACGACAACACAACAGCTAAACAAAACTGCGTGGAAGAGGAGCTGAGCCCGTGCTCCGGAATCTACACTAGTACTCCGTACAATTTTTGGGTTCATCATAAATGTTTTGGCAGTTTCTGGTATCCTTGGAACTTTGAATTCAATGAATGAAATTTTTGAAATCACCAGCTTTTAGCCTTCTTTTCATCTTTCTTAGCTTCAGCCACTTGTTCTAGTTGTTTATGGTTTATTTTCTCTTCCTTGTTTTTTAGTTCATGTGTGACAGCCTAGCCTTGGTTTAGCATATTTGCTTCGGAATTTGTGGAGTGCTCTGTTTCGGGTAACAATTTCCAAACTAGGATGGAGTTTAAGCTTGATTTTCGGAGTGCTTTGTTGTCGGCATAGAATGATTTTTTTTTTTTTTTTTTTTTTTTTGGATTTTTTGGAGTACTCTTTAAACTACTTCACCATTGCTTATAGCAGGAGATGGTTTAAGCTTTAGCTCTGGCCTTCTGCATCTTCTTAATTTCCTTTGTTGGAGATGTAAACTCATCTAGGGGTAGGAATCAACCTTTTTTCATGCAATTTGACCCATAAAATCTTACTCCCTAGTCCGTATTAAATTTTAAACTTCATTAATTGATTTATCTTTGTCAACCAAAATAAAAAGCAAAAATCCATGTATTCATTTTGGAGTGCCATGTCATCTTAAGTTTTCATCTCATAATATCGGGTGCTGTGTTTCACTTCTCTGGGGATGCTATCGATTAGGGACTATTTGGTCCCAGAGATGTCGGATCCCTCCATGCTTTGATCTGTGAGTTGGCATTTTCCAACTCATGAGCTCTTTCTTCTCACCCTTGTCTTAGCTTTTATGATTTTGTTTCCATATTTAATCTCCTTTTATTTACTATCTGTTCCTTCTCTCATCATCATTATTATTAATAATAATTGTCCTACTCTTTCAAGTTGCTGGTTTGGTTTTATATGGTTTAG